CTTGCTGGGGAATTCTGGGAGTTGCAGTCCACCCGCCTTCAAGCACGCTGGCTGGGGAATTCTGGGGATTGAAGTCCACACGGCTTAAAACATGCCGTCCAGGGAATTTTGGCCCTTGGATTTCCCCACCTAACTTAAAGAAGGCTGTCTGGGGAATTCTGGGGGTTGAAAGATCCTCCTTTCTGAAAGCTGTCGAGAAACACCGTGGCAGGAAAAGCCGAGACCCACAAAAGCGGCGACGGAGGAATCCTCCCGGGACGGGGAGCTTTGACCTTCCACCATCTCCTGACCTGCCCAATCTGGAATTTCGTTCTTTGGACATTCAAGGAGATCGGTTACAAAAACAGCTGTTGGCCAGGAAGGATGCTTGGGGGGGGGGGAAGGGGGGATTGATGGGATCAACAGCTGGACTCTCCAGCAGGGCGAGGGGTAGAGCGGAAATCCACTGCCTGCTTTATGGCTTCTTCTCCAGATCCTTCCTCAGCCCAAGCGGGTCAGCTGGCGTCCGCCATTTTGGCTTCTCCCACAACGCCGCAGCGGTGCGTCCCCCCACCCTCCCCGATGGATTCTGGGAAATCGCCTTTTTTTTTTTTTTGCTCCGTTCCTGCTTAGCCAGTGGGGTTGCCGGATCCCTTTTTAAGGCTGCGGAGTGAGGCCTGGGAAGGATCCAACGGATGCATTCCCACGTTATCTAACTGCAGGGATCAAATGTTTTCCCCGTTCCCTCCCCGACAGCTGCAACAAGTGCTGTTTGTGCGAAATGGCCCCCGTTCTCGGTTTTCCTGAATTCCTCTTCCCCAGGCAGAGATGCCAAAGATAAGAGACTGCAAAAACAGAGGTGAAGGTATGTATTGTTCACCTCCACACCCTTGGAACGCCGAACCCTGAGAAAACGCACCTGGATTTTTTTTTTAACCCCAGAGCAAAACATTCCCAAACTAAATTAGATTTCTCCATCATCCAGGTTGTCCCAAAGGCGTTTTGTTGGTTTGGGTTGTGGTTCGCTGGTAGCAAGTGCAAATGGCGGAGGTCTCAGAAAGCAAGGACGCGGACGAGGGGCCTGCGCGTGAGGCAGGGATGGGGCCAGGACCATTGGAGAGTGGGGTGCTGCCTACCAGAGTTTGAGGACACAGAGGACCCCACGGAGCCTGTGCTCAGGGTGTGCGCGCGCAGGGCTGCTCGAAGGAAAGGGTAGCTGAAGCAGCCTGGATGACTCAGGAAAAAAGCTGGAAGGTGATGGCCCCTCCCTTAAGGGATAAAAGCCAGCCTTCGGGGTCGGCTTCTTTGCAGGAAGCAAGGAAGTTCTTTATGCTCAGAGTTCTCATCCTCCAGTTTGTTGCTTTGGATATTTAGCTGCAATTAGTCTTTTGTTCTTGGCAGCCTTTCGCTACTCTTATGCAGGACCATTCGTTTTGAATGACTCTTGGCTGGGAATGCACAGAATTCACAGCGCTGCATTAAAAAAGGTTTGCTTTTTATACGTACTTGGTGTTTCTTGGTGTTGAACAAGGCTTGGGTCAGAACAGTTTGTTTTTCTTTCCCCAAAATGCAACTTGGATTTTCTTGGGGTTTTTTTGTTTTGTTTTGTTTCCCCTTGAAAACACCTTGATTTCTCACCCAAGAAATGAACCAAAGAAGCTTCTCAGAGGAGAAGCGAAAGGTTTTCAAAGGGGAAAGAAAAAAAAAAAGCAAAAATGAGAAAGTCCAGTTCCCAAAATACATTTTGGGGTCCCCCAAATGAACCACCCCAAAATACACGTTGAGTCAAGGTCTCCCCAATTGCCCAAACGGATGGGGTGGGGGATAAGAAGGGCCGTCGAGGCAAAGACAAGGCAGTCCTCGACTTACAACGGTTCACTTAGTGATTGTTTTGAAATTAACAACGGTGCTGGAGGGGGGAAAAAAAAGAGAGATTTTTCACACTTAGGACCATTCCTGCATCTCTCCCACGTTCACGGGATCAACAACTCGGAGGCTTGGCAGGGTCTTGGGGTCGCGCGACAAGCCAGATTCACTTAATGACTCCGTGACTAACTTAATGGCAGGGATTCGCTTAACAACAAAGGCAAGGAAAAAAAACGTGAAAGAGGGCAAACCTCACTTAATAAATGTTTCTCACTTAAGAGAAACAGGAATCTGGAGCTCAAGGATGACCGCTTAAGCCGAGGACTAGCTATATACCGAATTTCTTTTGGGAAGCTTCCGAGGTTTAATTTGAGATGCTGATAGCTGAATTAATTCCTTTTCTGAGTTTTTGCAAGAGGCCAAACCAGGAAGCAGCGACACAGGACATATATTTGCGCAACACGCCAAACACCCCAGTACAATCTCTCCATGCAGCTGTTGCCTCCAACAGATGTTCCTGCGAGTTTAGACGTGCTTTCGCAACGTACAAATTGGAGAAGCCAATTTTTTTTATAAAATAAAATAAAATAAACTCCTTTTTCTCCCAAATCTTTTCCCATCTGAGCCCTCCCTGCCTTTAAAAACTAAAATAAAATCTGCAAACGAGGATTTCTCAAGGAAAGGAAGGGCGGGATTTCTTACTCCCAATGTATCTCGATGTCGGATGTTTATTCAGAGGAGTAAAAGCAGGTGTAAGTTTGCACATCTGAAGTTCAAACTTTTTGTGGGTCAGTAGGTTTTGGTTTTTTTAATAAAAGAATTGTCGGTTTCGCACATTTTCGCAGAAGGCGATTCTGGATGCGACTCGGGGAGAGGTGTCGTGAAATTTGCACGGAATTGGAGTCTTTAGTCCGCTGGATAATTTATTAGCTTTTATTATTATTCAATGTATTTTGCTGCCCATCTTGTGGTTTGATGTTTTCAAAGCTCAGCGTTGCTACTCCAGAAAAATCCCATCTGGGGATTTTAAAAAGGCAGCGAGTGCAGGGCTGGGCCCCGGAATTCTGGGAGTTGAAGTCCACCCCTCTTAAATCATTCTGACTGGGGGATTCTGGGAGTTGAAGTCCACTCCTCTTAAATCATTCTGACTGGGGGATTCTGGGAGTTGAAGTCCACTCCTCTTAAATCATTCTGACTGGGGGATTCTGGGAGTTGAAGTCCACCCCTCTTAAATCATGCTGACTGGGGGATTCTGGGAGTTGAAGTCCACTCATCTTAAATCATGCTGACTGGGGGATTCTGGGAGTTGAAGTCCACTCATTTTAAATCATTCTGACTGGGGGATTCTGGGAGTTGAAGTCCACCCATCTTAAATCATTCTGACCGGGGGATTCTGGGAGTTGAAGTCCACCCATCTTAAAGTGGCCAAGGTTGGGAAACACCAATCTAGCTAGAAAAGATCCCAGGTTCTAACAATGCCAGGGATCCAAAAAGAGGGAAGGGAGAGCCGGCTGTCGCCCGATTTGAGCGGCGACAGTGAGATTCGTTCCGGGCACGCTTGATTTCAAACTCATCCGCTGATGGACTGCTGCTACCTGTCTGTCTGTTTCTTTTATTTTTTTTAAGCTGCCAGTGAGGCAGCCTCAATAAATAAAGTGAATAAATAAGCCTATTTACAGGTAAACAGGGGCCCCGGGGGATGAGTTTGGAGGAGGAGGAGGAGGAGGAGGAGGAAGGAGAGACAATTCTGGGTAAAGGAAGCAAAGGAATCTCACCCCTTGTTTTGTGCAGGAGGGATGAGGTCGAGGCGGGGGGGGG